CTAAAACACATACATAATATTTATAATAATAATAATACAGTTGTTAAAACTATGACACCATATTGTAAAGCCCAATATATTAACTCCTTTCATTTGACGACAGTGTGATGCATGTTTAGAGCGTTTTCCCCTTGCTTTGCGGGAAAAAAATCGTTGCGTTTCCCAGAAGAGGGCCTTTAGGTTATTATTGTGACCAGGTTATTTGCGTGATATTAAATTCTCGGCATTGCTGTGAAAAGGACTCTTGCAGTGGATGCGATCAAGGGAGACATCCCAAATACTGTCAGCACCGGCAGCAAAGTTGTCTACCGGCGAGCCAGTTGGCGACACAGTCGCCGATAAAGGTTTAAACCTTCATTTTTTCCTTTTTTTTTTTTTTGGCTACGCCTTTGGTTCACGTGTTATCTACCATTTGAACCTTATGCTTCCTGCCAGTGTTAACAGTACAATGGGGAAACCTGAGTAAAATCAACACATAAGATCACAAGAGAAATAATTCCAAAAGGGGAAATAATTGGGGAGGGGAAAGAGTTAAGTCTGTTGGTTGTGAATGCAGTTTCATTATACCGACATGCTGGTTTTGAATTCACCTGTAAACGGTTTGACCGCCGACTGCTTTGTATTCGAGAGAGCAATTGCAAACTACTGAACGTGCAATTACTTAGTGTAATCACAAGCAGCCAACACATGTTGGGGCTGGTTTGGAACGTCCGTGACAAAAAGAATGTACAATATCTATGATCTCATTTGAACCTTATGCTTCCTGCCAGTGTTAACAGTACAATGGGGAAACCTGAGTAAAATCAACACATAAGATCACAAGAGAAATAATTCCAAAAGGGGAAATAATTGGGGAGGGGAAAGAGTTTAGTCTGTTGGTTGTGAATGCAGTTTCATTATACCGACATGCTGGTTTTGATTCACCTGTAAACGGTTTGACCGCCGACTGCTTTGTATTCGAGAGAGCAATTGAAAACTACTGAACGTGCAATTACTTAGTGTAATCACAAGCAGCCAACACATGTTGGGGCTGGTTTGGAACGTCCGTGACAAAAAGATCGTACAATATCTATGATCTCAAATAGTTGCGCGGGAGAGAGGTTCGCATTTACACAGTAAAATAAAATTATTTTTTTTTTGAAGTCGACTGTTGAATGTTGAATTAAGAATCAACATCATAGCACTCAGGACACTCCCAAAAGCGCTCCATCCCCCCTCTTCAGCGGCAGACGAAGAGTTCCAATTACGATGGCACCAGTAACAGTCTGATTGTATATCCGTCTCGACTTTCCCTTGAGTGCTGGGCATCGGCCAGATCCCATGGTAACTCTTCGCAGCGCCATTCTCCTCAGACTGTAATGATCTATTTGCACTTCAGCACAGTTCACTAGCTCCTAGAGGGCGCTCACAACATCTAGCTTGTCATACATCAGTTCACCATTAAGTGGTGCAGAACCAGCCAGTCTATCTGTCTGCTCATTTTCCAACACACTGGCATAACCTGGAGAGAATATCCAAAGGACCAGGACCTGTGAAGTAATGCTTGCCACTCTGCACGGAGCATACATGTTTTAAACTTTCTCAACATATCTGTGAGTCAGTTACAATCACGACATGTGTGTACAGCTGATTCTCAAGAAAGTGGAATGCGGCAGTAACTGCCTCCATCTCCATTCTCAAACTAGACGTGGCATCATATGCCAGGCTTTGTTGCACTAAGCGACGTCCATTCGCTTGTGCTATGAACCCCCATGCATTTCCCTCAACACAGAGTCATCTGTGTAGATAATCACATCACTTGGGCGCGAATTGTCATGAATCATTTGTTGAACTACTGATTCTGCAGTCGGCTGTTTGACAAGAGGTTCCTTTCAAGGTGGAGTGCATCTGCCTGAGGGGCAAGGAACCAACAGTCTACATACAAATGAGTCAAACTTGAAAAACGGATGCACAAGCAACACTCAGGTTCTGGAACCGGACTGCAATCTAGAAGTGGACGAACAACTAAAACTTTCTGCCAGAGTTTACATGCCGTGAACACAAGGAACAAGAAGAAGAAAGATGACAAGACAAGTATTCGGGAACCAGACCTAAATTAAGCCTGTTAAAGATGGTAAATCAAATGGTGCTCAAATGAATTCTGTGGCGTTGCGAACGCGCTTCGTAATGCCGGGGTGCAGGGTCTGATCACAGCTACAGACGATTTGTCTTGCGCTGGTTTCGACAGTGGAACCGAGAGCTGACCGTTCAGAGGGCAATGGCAAACTACTGTACGTAAAATGTATCTAGAAAAACCACAACAGCCAAACTATGCAACGTCACGTAAAGGATATGCAACTAACGAACTAATTAAGACTAAACAGTACCAAATAAATCATGGGTCAATAGTAGGCTGCATCTAGTGATATCTGGTATGCATTTTAAGCTGACTGATATGGGTGCTCATGTACATTTAATTTAGTTTTTAATTACAATAAAATATGCGAGTTCGAAGCCATAACAATGGACTGGAAGGCATAATTCTCGGAGCCATAACAATGGACTGGAAGGCATAATTCTCGGAGCCATAACAATGGACTGGAAGGCATAATTCTGGGAAGTTTACCTCGTGACACAGAAATACTTATATTGTTGACTTGCTTTTTCTTCTTCTGCTTCCTCCAGTTCTTTCTTCTTCTTCTTCTTCTTCTTCTTCTTCTTCTTCTTCTTCTTCTTCTTCTTCTTCTTCTTCTTCTTCTTCTTCTTTTCTTCTTCTTCTCCGTCTCCTCCTTCTCCTCCTTTTTCTTCTTCTTCTTCCTCCTCTTCTGCTTTGTGTGTCGGTAAAAATCACTTTTATTTTACAGCGAGACTTTCACAGGCGCTCCACTTTTCACATATTAATGTGGAGAATGGCATCACAGTGCACGCTTTCTCTCTATCTCCCTATATATATATATATATATATATATATATATATATATATATATATATATATATATATATATATATATATATGCGTGTGTGTGTGTTTATGTGATTTTGTATTTGTGTTCATGTATTTAAGTATGTGGGTATAGTATGTGATTTGTGTTTTAGTGTATGTAAACATATACTCAACCGCAAACAATCGAAACAGTGCACTGGCTTACAGGCACATATTGCATACGCTGCACGTTAAAGAACCATTCACGCACATATATAATAACTTATTATACAGTTTTATTCCAAATCTGACAAGTCCATTATAAGAAATTAATTCGAATATTTCCATCACCTTTTCCTATACACACACAAAAACATACCCCGCTCACACCGACTTTCGCCAAACACACACATACCCACACAGTTAATTCTTAACAGGAATGAGTTGTCTATCTATAGCCATCTCACACAAACTAAAACAGAGAGAGGACAACAAAGCAACAAATACATTCAGAACTTGCAAAGTCTCACGATACATGTATCTCGTATGTGTTTATATGGCACAATTTTTATACATCAAAGAAAAAAAGGATCTCAATTACCCCTCTTTACCCTGCTACCTTTTCCCTTATCTGTCTGTCAGTCTGTCTGTCTGTCTATCACTCTATCAATATTTATTTTTATAAGCGTCGTTTGCCTGTTGATCACTACCTCAGTTGTTTTTGTCCCCACCTGTCTCAGATACACTTTACAAGTTTACACGCCGGTGACTGCTTTTGATAACATTCTGATAAACAACCCCTTGGGGTGGGTGGGGGGGGGGGGTGGGGGTGGAGTATTTTTGTTTTTAATGCCAGCTTGATATTCTACAGGACAAATAGCAATCAGTACGTTATCAATACATACGTGTCGCCTCTATACAATAGCAATCAGTACGTTATCAATACACACTTGTCGCCTCTATACAATAGCAATCAGTACGTTATCAGTATACAATAGCAATCAGTACGTTATCAGTACATACTTGTCGCCTCTATACAATAGCAATCAGTACGTTATCAATACATACTTGTCGCCTCTATACAATAGCAATCAGTACGTTATCAATACATACTTGTCGCCTCTACTTCTGAGAACATCATATGGCGTCCATTTTAAGGTGGCCAGTCGCGATAGCGCAGAAAGTAGATTAGACCCAGAATGTACATGTTCAAATCTTCATCGAAGCAGACTGACAATTTATTAGGGCAGTCAGTTTGACCCTGTCTTAAATGTGTACCAGTAAGTATGCTGAGTACTGACCACCTGTGAAAGGTCCAATGATGCCAAACACAAGAGCGTGCAACATGAAGGTCGAAACACCAAGAGGTAGGGGTCGACCAAGAAGAAGATGGTTTAAGAGATTCAGTGATATTCTGAGACTGCACATCATCACAACATACTATACATCCAAGCGTGCCCTAGCTCGGATACCGATCATCTGTTAATCTGCAACGCCTAGCGACACAGAGCAGAATATGGACAAAAGAAAGAAGACATTTTCAAAAAGACCACATAACTGATCAAGTGTCAACTGTTCTATAGATAATCTGAGCTAACAGCATGTGTTCAATATAACTTAAGGTGTAGAGATGTAACCTCTACTTTTTACTTGTGTATATGTATGTAAACACTGGACGATATGACATACCAGGTCAATTAGAGAAGAGAATCTGAGGCACAGTATATATATATATATATATATATATATATATATATATATATATATATATATATATATATATATACACTCAAACAAACACACACAAAACACAGCAAATGGTATATCTTAATTACTCTTTCCCCACCATTTTCTTCTCTTCGTATGTTCGTGTATGTCTGTGTATCTCTCCCTTTTTGTTTCATCCCTATGCCTCTCCTGTTCTTGTCATCTCATTGTATCTGCATTCGTGCACATAATTTGTCTCAACACACACACACACACACACACTCTCTCTCTCTCTCTCTCTCTCTCTCTCTCTCTCTCTCTCTCTCTCTCTCTTTCTCTTTTACACTGCCTTGCTTTCACTTCTGTCCTCTCATACAACACACAGCAAACGCTATCTGCCGAAAAGCAGTTCACAACGAACTATCTGTTTATACACGTCTTCAATTCTCTGCTGCAGAATTTTCAGATTTTTGTTTGGAATGACAGCCAAGTGTTTATGTAATACCTCATTAGAGGTAAACAGTCTGTGCAGCTCTTCTCCTACACTTGCAGACTTGTGTAGCCTCCTGATGGTTTCTACAGTCGAAGGACGAAACACGCACAGTGACTCCAGCAACGACTCGTGGAAGGTGGAATACTTCTCCAGAAGACGATATCCATGGAACAAACCAGATTCATTGTCAAGGAAAACAAGGCTGCCGTCTGCCTGCTGTTCTAAGTTGTGGGCAGGACTGTTCATCATTTGGTCGTTCCACTGACGGTTGAACATATTGTTGATAACCCGGTCCAGATTTGCTGTCAGGTAGTCAAAAACTATTAAATCTGACCACTGGACCAACTCGCATAATTCCGAGTCGGATTTTGACGCTAAAATAGCTGCAGTTGGTTCGAGTCTTCTACCTTCTTCTCTAAATTCTTCAGGAATGTGTGCTGGTGACAATCCACCGATGTGCTGAGTAAGGACGACAAGTTTGGAGTCTGCCCACTGGGCCAGAGACAGCTGCAGATGTACAGTCTTCCATCTGGATGAGAGGGTATCCACTCGATCCAGGATTGTTGGTGGAATGTTGGAGACGTTGAAAATTCGAGCCAGATAGTAAGAAAATATCTCTCCTTGAATCTGATCAGTGTTGAGTCTATAACGGGCACATGCTTTGGTTGAGTCCCTAAAAGTGATCAGTCTGTTCTGCATTCTACCGCAACCTTCTTCCATTTTTACAACATCTAGTTCTTCTACTTGCCTTCTCCAAGCCTCAGCTTCATTTAACTGGAATGGTCTTGGACACGACTGTTCTAGCCGTGAAGACCAAAGAATACCATTTACAATGTCAGAAATTAGCGATGGATTATCATGTGAATCTGTGATTTTCAATGATCCTGTTTCACTGCTGCTGCTATTGTTCGACTTGTGTAAATTGAATGTAACACTGACTACATGTGGACTTTTCGATCCGTTTACTAATGTATAATTTTTAAACTCATCTACATTTTTGGAACTGTGGAATGATGCATTTACCAGATCGGTACTACTCACTTTGCCATCGCGGACGTATTTTGTTGAAGTTTTCCCCTCGTTTTTCAAAACGTTTATTTTATTAACTGCATTTTCTGTTGCGCGTATATTAATTGCATTAGCACGTCTAATGTTAACATTCATCATACTCGTATGTTTTTCTGGTGAGATGTGCCGTTTTAATTTTACTATCGACGCATTTTGGTTCTCTGACTCCTGTGTTACTGATTTTGAGAAAGTAAGTTTTTCGAGCAAAACAGATACTGGAGATTTTGCTCCTAACTGTTGATCACGGTCGTCAGTCTCACTTAGGCTCCTTCTCGATCGGAATGACGACACATCAGCCAGATGGTGCTGCTGATAATCTAAATCGTCGGCAGGGAGCGTATTGTCTATTGGCAGCTGAAGAAGCAAGCCAAAGATAACTCCTACAGTAAAACCGATTCCTGCCATAATCATCAGAGCTCCTTTCATTATAACATTACCCGCTTCTTGTCATGGTAAGATCACATACCCCCACGCCATCACAGTGTTGGAACTGAAGGATTCAACTATTTAACAATCATGTTATAGATTTGAGTACCGGTGGGTAGTTCCTTTGTTGATATGGATTTGTCAAGACTAGGTGGCTCAATGGTTAAATATAAATGCAGATGGTTGGTAAACGAGGACTAGATCGAACTTAAAATGCGTTGATGCAAACTGCGATGTTTCTGTGCTTTCGTTCATGCCCCCTTCTGATAGAAAAGACATCGCCTTCAGAGCTGCTGGACTTGCTTTGATCTGTAAAGAAAGAAAATTATAATATAAATGTACTGCTACCTAAAGGCTAATAAAATACAACAGGAAATATGCAGCTTACCGGGACGGCAGGATCAGACAGTGACAGCATGGATCAGACAGTGACAACAGGGAACAGACAGTGATAACTCGGAACAGACAGCGACAGTAGAGAAAAGGCAGCGACCTTAGGAAACAGACAGTGACAGCGTGGATTAAACAGTGATAACATGGAACAAACAACGACTGCGGGAAACAGACAGTGACAGCGTGGATCAGACAGTGATAACATGAAACAAACAACGACTGCAGGAAACAGACAGTGACAGCGTGGATCAGACAGTGATAACATGAAACAAACAGTGACAGAAAGGATGGACATGTGTACCCGGGAACATAGATAGAGCGACAGCCGGAATCAAACAGTGGTAAAATATTGATAATACGGAACGACGATAATAAATTATATTCTGGTACGTCCATATTTGAATAAATCAACAGACACTCCAAGTGATATGGTCATCACCCGGCCGCTCGAGTATACTCTCCATGATAAATCTTTCTACCATTTTATGGCTGGGCCGGTTTATTTTCTACCGTTTTCTTCTATCCGGTGTCATTTTTTGAATATCATGGATGGGATCCAACCCAGCAGCTTTGGCATCCCTCATCAAAGTTTATCTTAGGGTTTCTCTTTGACGTTTTCCTTTCTTCAATCCATTTCTTTCCCATTTAATTGTATGTTTGCTGACTTTCTGGCTTTATTCACATGCGCATTGTAATCGGTATGATGTAGTATTTATAATAATGCATGTGATGTAAACGACGGTGAATACTTATTTGTCTATACATGTGCAGATCCAGTCTGAACCTATATAAGTGACGACATATACATATGAGAACTAGCTGAGCAGAGCAACTATGGGGTGACCCGTTTGCTATGAAGCTGAAACTATGAATACCAGATTACCAGAAGAACTAGCTACATGTGTAGGGCGAGCCGCCGTGGTGTAGTGGCCAGACCAGTGGTTCTCAACCTTTCTCATGCGGGGACCCTTTAATACAGTTTTTCATGCTGTAGCGACGCCCAACCATACAGTTATTTTCGTTGCTGCTTAATAACTTCAGTGAATATGTATTTTACGGTTGTCTTTGGGGACCCTTGTGAAAGGGTCATACGGCCCGCATAAGGGTCGCGACCCAGAGCTTGAGAACCGCTGAGCTAGATGCTGACCAACGGATCGGAAGGTCGTGGGCACGGGTCGTGATGGAGCAGGACGTTAGTTTTCAAAATATGATTTTGGCTCCCAGTCGAGACCGCCTTGAAAGGGTACCAGCTACAGCTGTGGCTGACCACATCACCAACCAAATGCCTAATATGCCTCAAGGCGTGGAAAAAGGTCATTTACTTTTTTTTTTTTTTTTACATGTTTAGAATACTTGATGACTCTAGAAATCTATCTCCCTCCTCCCACCACTTTCTCTCTCCGTCTTGTTCACTTATTTTCTATCTATCTATCTATCTATCTATCTATCTATCTATCTATCTATCTATCTATCTATCTATCTATCTATCTATCTATCTATCTATCTATCTATCTATCTATCTATCTATCTGTCTGTCTGTCTGTCTGTCTGTCTGTCTGTCTGTCTGTCTGTCTGTCTGTCTGTCTGTCTGTCTGTCTGTCTGTCTGTCTGTCTGTCTGTCTGTCTGTCTGTCTGTCTGTCTGTCTGTCTGTCTGTCTGTCTGTCTGTCCGTCTCGTCCTGTCTGTCTGTCTGTCTGTCTGTCTGTCTGTCTGTCTGTCTGTCTGTCTGTCTGTCTGTCTGTCTGTCTGTCTGTCTGTCTGTCTGTCTGTCTGTCTGTCTGTCTGTCTGTCTGTCGTCTGTCTGTCTGTCCTGTCTGTCTGTCTGTCCTGTCTGTCTGTCTGTCTGTCTGTCTGTCTGTCTGTCTGTCTGTCTGTCTGTCTGTCCTGTCTGTCTGTCTGTCTGTCTGTCTGTCTGTCTGTCTGGTCTGTCTGTCTGTCCTGTCTGTCTGTCTGTCTGTCTGTCCTGTCTGTCTGTCTGGTGTCTGTCTGTCTGTCTGTCTGTCTGTCTGTCTGTCTGTCTGTCTGTCCTGTCTGTCTGTCTGTCCCTGTCTGTCTGTCTGTCCTGTCTGCTGTCCTGTCTGTCTGTCTGTCTGTCTGTCTGTCTGTCTGTCCTGTCTGTCTGTCTGTCTGTCTGTCTGTCCTGTCTGTCCTGTCTGTCTGTCTGTCCTGTCTGTCCTGTCCTGTCTGTCCTGTCCTGTGTCCTGTTTGTCCTGTCCTGTCCTGTCTGTCCTGTCCTGTCCTGTCCTGACTGTCTGTCTGTCTGTCCTGTGTCTGTCCTTCTCTTCTGTCTGTCTGTCCTGTCTGTCCTGTCTGTCCTGTCTGTCTGTCCTGTCTGTCTGTCCTGTCTGTCTGTCCTGTCTGTCTGTATGTCCTGTCTGTCTGTATGTCCTGTCTGTCTGTATGTCTATTAACGATACGCTGCTAATGCGACGAACTGGGGGGGGGGGGGCGGCATGAGGAGCAGTAAAAAGTGCAACAGAAAAAGAAATCAAGGACGAGGGGGAGGCAGATGAGGAAGGGGAGAAGGAGGAGGAAAATGTGGTGGCATTACAGCCAGCATTAAAAACACTTATAATATAACATCTCTGTTACTTAACGGAATCTCTATATTTACTATTTTATGACTCGACAATGGATGTGTGCTGTACTGGATGTGGAAGTTGTCTTCAAGAATACAACCTGGTGGCTACCACATCTCTTCCTGTGTACGACTCTTGTATCACAGTTCATATGGCTATGAGAATTGTCATTTTCTAATCAAACCGTAGCGAGAAACAACCCTTGAGAATCAAAGTCTTGACTGACCCGCAAGCCACACAGGGGAATGTTTATATATCATATACAATATTCGCGCCGTGTCTGTTGCTGGTGTCTTCAACATACATTTGTTACGTACACCGCCTGCTTTCTTCAATGAAGACAACAAGCCAACATCCTTCGAATGGAAGAAAGAGTGTCACTAGTATTTAAGCGTTTTTAGACATATTTCGGATTAACCTGCTCAGTTTCTCAATGGTTAGACATAGAACGTGTGTATCATAGGGCTATAAGCGGAGGATGTGGAAGATAAGCAGAGAATGAGGAGGGAAAGAAAAAGTAGAGGGGGAGGAGGAGGAAGTGGCGAAGGGGAAGAGGAGGAGGAGGAGAAGAAGTAGCAGAAGAAGAAGAAGAAGAAGAAGAAGCAGAAGCAGAAGCAGAAGAAGAAGAAAAAAGGAAAAAAAGAAGAAACCGAAGAAAACGAAAAAAACGAAGAAGAAGAAGAAGAAGAAGAAGAAGAAGAAGAAGAAGAAGAAGAAGAAGAAGAAGAAGAAGAAGAAGAATTAAGAATGAGGAGGAGGATGTATTAAGAATGAGGAGGAGGAGGAGATGCGGAGGATGAAGTAAAAAAGAAGTAAGAAGGAGGAAACAAGAAAGTAATAAAGAGCGAAGAAGGAAGTAAGTAAGAATGAAGGGACTATAAAGGAAAAAGTAAAAAAGAAGCAAGGAAGAAGGATGGAAAAAAGAAGTATAAGAGAAGGAAGCAAGAGAGAAGGAAAAAAAGAAGAAGAGAGTGTGATGGGGAAGAAAACTACTTTTCAATTTTATAACTATATATAGAATTGAAAATAATTTCGCAAAGCGTAATCTGCAACTGAACATTGCAGTTAACAAACAAATGAACAGCTGACGATTTCGCGTAATCTGCAACTGAACATTGCAGTTAACAAACAAATGAACAGCTGACGATTTCGCGTAATCTGCAACTGAACATTGCAGTTAACAAACAAATGAACAGTTGACGATTTCGCATATTACACAGATAGCTAACAATTGAGCAGCCCAAGTTCTCAAAGATATACGCAGCCTATAATTGAACAGCCCTGAATTCACTTACTAAACCCATCCAATTACAGCTGCATTCGCGACAACACTTGGGTAAAACTCATTCCTCTTTCATAATGAAGTAAGCGGTTCCCAAACCGTATATATTTATCTATTTTCTCTTTCTGAAAACTCACCGGTGACACATAAAAATTCCTTGTAAAGTAAAGACCCCTTTAACTATCATTTCTTAATATAATAGTGATGCATCAGTCATTACTCTTTCTTGGCAATTCACCATGAGTTGACATGAACCACTTTTCTCAACTCCATGCGCCCTGTCTATCACCCCTCTACCCCCCCCCCCCTTTTCCAACGACCCCCCCCCCCCTCTTTCCCAACCTCCATAAATGTCACTCATTTGCTTCATTATAAAATTTTATCTTCATTAGGCTCAAAGATTCATAGTTAAAAATAACAGAGGGATAAACCAGAAGAGACGGTCACCAATAAAGAACTAAGAACAATTAGAACACAGTACCCGTGAATTATAAAACAGCGAAGAATCAAGTGGTGTGGTCGTTTGGTCAGAATAGAACAAAATCAGTCAGCAGCTATATCGTACTACATGAGGACAACAGCTTACGGGACAACGGGCTGACCAACAAAGCGATGAGTGCATGGAGGTGGGGGTGGGGGGAAGACTACTGAAACGCAATATGGCAGCAATGGCTTTTGTCATTCCGTGTCGACGTAGAAGCTTTTTAATGTCGTCTATCCATTTCTCCCAGGGCTGTTTCTTGCTT